CACCACGAGGCAACTAGAGTCATTGATTCGACTTACAGAGGTAGATGCAGGCTGTAATACTTGAGAGATCAAAAGCAAAAAGATTATTCCTAAACTACTACTGGTATCCTATAATTTTTGACATTTCACTGTTCACTACTCACTGTTATGATTTTTTATTGTATTTTAAAAAAAAAAAAGTGAGCATGCAAGAGACTTACAAATGCTTAAGAGCTACTGTTCCTTAGAGTGTGTTATAAAGTAAAACACCCTTAAGGGGATGGGAAGAGAATCTGTCACATTCTCCTGAAAGGAGGAAAAAGTAGGTGCAGGTAGGAACAAGCTGCTGCCCATCTGGGACTTAAACTGCTGCTGTTTTCCCTAACACTATGTCTTAATAACACTATTTATGATCTGGTGCTTCCCAAGAATACGCTGTTAAAAAGCAAATAAACTTCAGGCTACATTCTGTAGGTATGCAGGAGATGACATTGAAATGCTATTGAAAAAATAAGAGTAATCCTCCTGTAAATCCTGTAGGCTGAGGTTCTACCTCTGCTCCTAAAATTTGTGCTTGTTGTAGAGCAATTGTAGCCTTTTTCCTGATCAGTTATATCTTAAATATACTTTTGTGGGATTTTTGATTTGTTTTAAGGCACGATCAAGGCTGGAATTAAGGGAGAAATCTACCAAGGAAGATGCTGAGGATGTAATAGAAATAATGAAATACAGGTAATGCACACTGCTTTAAAAATAAAGCATCACAGTGCTATTCATACAAAACTCTTGGGTTTTTTTAAATACAGATTTGCAAGCACAGTGAAGAAATTACTTTATCAAGTTTAGGCCCATGCTGCAAATATTCAGATTTGTTAGTTCTTCTTTAAAAACTTACAGCATCCCTGAGTTGAATGCTTAGGCCTTTGAGTTGTATCATGGTAGCAGTTTTGTGCACAGCAACATAGGCATGAGGTGCTGCCAAAGGGGTTTTTTTTCTCTTGTGTAATTTACTCTCTGTTGTTGCAGTTGAACAATTTACTTTAAAAGTGATTTGGACAGATGCTTAGGCTAAGTTCCCTAGATAAGAAACCATCCCCTAAGAAAAAAGTCACTATGTGGCTTCTGAAAGCTATCTTAAGCAGTTATATTTTTGGGAAGCAAATTTATGTACTCTTGCTTTTACCTCCTGTTGATCTTTTTTAATATATTTTTAGCATGCTGGGAACCTACTCTGATGAGTTTGGAAAGCTGGACTTTGAACGTTCACAGCATGGGTCTGGAATGAGCAATCGGTCACAAGCAAAAAAATTTGTTTCTGCCCTTAACAGTATTGCAGAGAGATCTTACAACAATCTCTTTGACTTGCAACAGCTTCGACAGATTGCAAAGGAGCTACAAATACGAGTAAGTTTTGGAAATCAAGCATTTCTTCAACAGCAAACTGCAAGACCAGTCAAAATTGTTGCAAAATGAAAAGTGGAAAAGGCACATCTGTTGTGCCTCTCTGCAATGAACAGAAATAAGCAGCATTTGCTGCTTTTAGGCTGACTGCTCTTCCTGAATTGTAAGCTTTACTAATGTTACTAGCTGTTAGACTGTAAGAACTGCTGGCACTGGTAAGGGTTGGCTCTACTTCTGAGGCTGGTCCTTTTACAAGATTCTGCTTTGTTTTGTGAAAGGCAGTTTTGGTTTCAGTATATTTTACTTCCTCTGGCTCCCCAGGGGACACACCTATTTTAATTTCCATATTTAGACTGTGGAGGTGTCCATGTTCTATTTCAGTAGTACAGTCACACTTCTGCTTGGCCTTCTCAGTCCTAAATATGCCTTTTGGGTTTTTGTTCCCGCTTGAAGCATCCAAGTGTTGTAACTTGATAGGAACATCATGTAAGACAGATGGCCAGAAACATGTTTTATCCTGGAATTGATTTGCATTCTGTATTTGTGGGGGACTTGAGCCAAATAAAAATATCAATAGCTAATTCTACCTTTTGCTTCATGATAAAAAGCTTTAAAGGCCAATTTAAAACTTAAAACTGGATTTCAGGTGTAATGAGTGACAAGCAATGATAATTAATTTCTTTTTGTAGATCTTATTACGGGCACTAATGCTGTGCTTTCTGTTACCTGGTTAGCCTGCTTTGGCCTGCTGAGGCAAGATGGCTTCAGCTTCCAAACTTGTTCAAACACTGACTGTATATAAGACTGGACTGGGTGTGAATCCTGTCTGACACAACACATTACTGCCAACATTCTTCTCACACGATCACTCCATTCAGCAACCTATAGCTAATTCTATTAATTCAAATTTTCCCTTTATATATAAATATTTTTTGCCCATACCTGTGACTAATATTTGGAAATCAGTGAGAGTTGTAGAAATCAGGCTTGACTTTGGTAGATAATTGTGTTTCAGACCTTACATGTAACTGCATACTTTCTGCATGTCATAAAGTGGAGAACACTTGTTCTATGTAACACCACAATAAGAACAATGTGTAAATAAAGCACAAAAGGGTGCAACTGACTGTATGCCACCTCATAGTAGGTCAGCAGTTTGCTAAGGAATCTAGCCTATTCTTAACTCACTTTATTTCACTAAGTTCTTTTAAAGTGTTTATGTTGCATTACATCAGATAAAATGTTGTTGTTCTAATCTGTTGGGTTTTTATTTTTGTCTTTTCACAGGTATCAGATTTTGAAAGCTTTATTGGATCCCTAAATGATCAGGGTTACCTTTTGAAAAAAGGTTCAAGAGTTTATCAGCTTCAGACTATGTGAAAAGAGTCACTGTGATAAACTTTCTTGAGACATAATCATTACATATGGGCTGGACCTATGGACCTGCATCAATGAAGCACACAGAGCTGCACCCTGGCATGGTAGTCAGGGCACTGCTGGCACTGTTGCTTACTGGTGCAAGATTTCCATTCAGAAACCAGCAGTGCCCATAGGCTGGCTTTAAGCTGCTGTAGAACAAACTGACACATGGTATTACTGCTCCATTCATCCTGTAGCCTCAGTGAGGCTCCATAAGACCGGCACGTACTTCATCCTTGAGAAGAGGAAAGTATATTTTATATTTGCATTATTGCAGTGCCATAACAGATTTTACTTCTAAAAGAGACATTGGACCTGCAAATTTAAAACCAGAAATCCTTCATGAGAAGGTGCAAGTTGTGTTTTTACCACTGTAGTTCATTAAAGGAACTTAATGTATAAACATGTTTCCAAAAGGTTGAGAGCCTCCAGGTTGAGACAACAGTTTTATGGTTGTTAAGAAGTGCTACTTTATTAAAGCAATTTGGGTTTCTGCTTTGTAGCTCTGTATTTATTGGGTTTTGTATCTGAGATTCTATCTGATATACAGGTCTGATTTAAGAAAATACCCTTATTACAATATTTAATTTGTAAAACAGGAATTTTATTTGTTGTTCATTAAACTTTATCTGTGAGAAATCTGTGATTTGTTCAAGAACATTATGCAGTACCAGTGAATGTGGGCGTTAATAGCCATTACAAGATACATAATGTATGTTTCGGTGTAACATGTATGCTTTGGTGTAACTGTTCCCAACACAAGAATGTGTGATCTGCAAGAGTAGTGTTGAATGTTTCCTGCCTTTTGAAATCAGAATCATCGTCTAGTGCAATAAAATGGCAGATAAGAAGCTTTCAGTGTAAGTATTAAAAAGCAAACAACTCTCCCCAAAATTCTTTAAAAATTCAAGAATGCATTGCTGATACTTCTGTTTTCCTCTTATGTCTACAGAATTGGAAGACAAAATAAGCTTTGTTATTTCTGCTTTTTTTACTGAGTGACTTAAGGATCTGATCTTCAGCCTTCTTCCACAGCAGTTTTGTATGAAACTATGAGCTTTACAGCTTGAAATGTGTTAAACTGCTCCATGCTGCCTTGGTGTGAATCTAGTTTAACATACTTAGAAGTCAAAAACTAGTTTGACAGATGCAATGCTTAAGAGAAAACTAAGAAGTTATAACTCTACATAGGAACACTTAAGTAGCAAGCAGCCTGTTCTTTCCCACTTTTGTCTGCTTGTGGTGGTAACGGGGGTTAAGGGATTTTTTTGATGTGTGGGCATATAGTAGTTGCCATTTGTTCCCAAGTGCTAACATTTGGGCAGCAGAGGAGCCACACCACCTCTCAAAGTGGGAGTTAATCCTACGTGAGGTGGCAACCTACTCTGTCAGGTAATGGGAAGTAGGTGTTAGACATTGATTTTTAACCTTTGCCAATGGCTTAGAAAAAAAGTTATATTAAGTAGAAGAAATCTGACTTGCACCCTAGAGCCAGGGCTTAAGGGAGAGGATAGAACTAGAATTTCAGAAGTGGGGGTCCCACTCCTCTCCCCTGCCTGTGAGGTCTGTGCTCAGAACTACAGCCTGGCCAAGGGGTGAAGGGAGCTGCCCCCCTGCTGTAGCAGGACTGCCTCTAGCTAACTCTAAAATTGATGTGGTAGAAGAATTAATGATTTAAAATGTCCTCTTTCTCGATTCTTCCAAATAGCTCTGGAGGAGGTCGAATTAAATACCCTACATCCAATTGTTTAGGGTCCTGAGTCTGGTTTTAGGTGGGGTTTTTTTAAGAGTCTCCCTTTGTTTTGCCAGTTACTTACTCCTGTGTGTAAAGCTGATTGCGCAAGCATCACAAGCAAATAAATGATTCTATCTGGAAAAGTAAACTCTCCTTTCTCCTTGAGCTAAAGTAAGCGTGAGCAGGGGAGGGTGAAGAGCAAGTACTAGGAACAAGAGACTACTTAGGTCTTCTGGGAAGCTTCTTACGGTAAAGCAAACCTTCACCTTCCTCCGTAAAGGGCTTCTAAGAGAACAGATCCAGGAAGAAGCGCGACCCCACGAAGCCGCCCCGCCGTGAGGAGCGGGGTGATCCCGGGCAGCCGGCCGCCATGGACGCCGCGTCCGGGGCTCCCCAGGGGAGC